CTATCATCCACAGATTTATCTTAGAAGACACATCGCCCCCTCACCCCTCCCCCCAACTACACACAAACACCCCTATCCGGACTCAATATAATGGTATGTCCCACTGACTTGGAAAATGACGCAACTGGGGGGGTGAGTGGGAGCAACCAAGTCAGTGTTGGGGGGGGTGGGGGGGGAGGTCAGTCTGGGAGAGCCCCCCCCCCACCCTGTACTTCACCTGTTCGAGGTCAGGGAGCAGTCGGACATTAACACGGATCGTTGCGTTTGGTGGGCGCGGACGGGTGTGTGAGGGGTGGAGGGAGGTACGCGCTTCACACCCCTCCTCCTCTCTCCGTGGTCGAGTCCGGCGGTGAGTCCGGTTCGCGGCTGCACCGGGTCACGGGGTCCGGTACATCGGCTCCCAATCGGGACAAAGTCTGGGTCCCATTACTGCGACAGTGTCGCCGGTTGTGAGTCTCTGTTCGGATACAGCATTGCCATTTGTGAGTCTGTTCGGATACATTGTTGCCGGTTGTCTGTGGGGCTTTTTCCCCTTCGGATACAGTGTTGCAGTTTGCGAGTGTGTTCTGATACATTGTTGCGGTTGTCTGTCTGTTCAGATACATTGTTGCCGGTTGTCTGTCTGTTCAGATACATTGTTGCCGGTTGTCTGTCTGTTCAGATACATTGTTGCCGGTTGTCTGTCTGTTCGGATACATTGTTGCGGTTGTCTGTCTGTTCAGATACATTGTTGCCGGTTGTCTGTCTGTTCAGATACATTGTTGCCGGTTGTGTGTCCGTTCGGATACAGTGTTACCGGTTGTGTGTCCATTTCTGCTACACTGTGACCACAGTATTTGTGTCCCTTTCTGCTACGCGTTGGATCTGCCACTTACCCCCTGAGAGGCAGGTAAGGCCGTGTCTGCTTATATCATAATAATAATAATAATCATAATCCTAATCCTCGCATCGGATTACAGCTTCTTATTACGCCGTCGAGAGACGGCGTCGCCGAAGCCTTTCGCCGGATACACCACCGAGCGACTCGACGGCAGATTTTTGTCTGCGAATTTATTCGTCGGCCGCGTTTCTTTTAATTGGGAAGATAGGAGCGAGTAATTAATGAATGAATCAACGAGGAGTTATTTTTCTTGGAAGGGGGGGAAAGAGGGGACTGAAGTAACCCCTTCCTTCCTCCCTCCCTCCCCCCACCCATCCTCCCTCTCTCTCCCCCCACCACCCCCAGAAAGTGGGGTTGGAATACATCTTCTTGTGCTCTGGAGAAGTCGATGTATTAGGGAGGAAAAAGGGGCATTGGACCCACACCAGAGCCTCGCGATCTCCTTTCTTAACCCTTAAACTGTGGCTATTCTTGTAATAATAATAATAATCCTTTGCAGCTGATCCAGAGCCTTATCGCGACGAGCCAACGCGCTTCACAGAACGTGCTGTAAAGTGGATCGACTGTGCGTTTTTTGGGGGGCGGTGGGGGCGGGGGTGGGGAGGGGGGGGCAACGAAGTTAATCGGAAATGTCTAGTGGGGGGGGGCTGTGAGCTCTGAATGAGCTTTAGAGTGAATAATCTGCCTCTGTGAGTAAGTGTGAGTGAGAGTGTGAGTGAGTGAGAGTGTGAGTGAGTGAGAGTGTGTGTGTGAGTAAGTGTGTGTGAGTAAGTGTGTGTGTGAGTAAGTGTGAGTGAGAGTGAGTGAGTGAGAGTGTGAATGTGTGTGAGTGAGTGAGAGTGTGAATGTGTGTGAGTGAGTGAGAGTGAGAGTATGTGAGTGAGTGAGTGTGTGAGTATGAGTGTGTGTGTGTGAGTGAGTGTATGTGAGTGAGTGAGTGTGTCTGTGAGTGTGTCTGTGAGTGAGTGTGAGTGAGTGTGAGTGAGTATGAGTGTGTGTGTGAGTGAGTGTGTTTGTGTGTGAGTGAGTGAGTGAGTGAGTGAGTGAGTGAGTGAGTGAGTGAGTGAGAGTGTGAGTGAGTGTGTGAGTGAGTGAGTGAGTGTGTGTGTAAAAAAAATCTTCCTCCTCCTCCTCCTCCTCCATAATAACTCTCAACAACAAGTCTTGAGATGTACAAAAAGCAAAGGCCCCGTTCGGTCGTACCATTTGTTACGTATACACACTGTGTGTGTGTGTACACATATATATATATAAATGATGACAGAAATAAACCAACTTGTGTAAGGTTTCCCAACGTCACTCAATTTCCCGTTCCCCCCCCCCACCCC